CGACGGCATATTTCATGAACAAACCGGATCTGAGGATGGAAGAATATTGCTCAGCATGAGGAATTAATTTCATTTCACTTGGTGGAAATCAGTCAGTCATAGGACTGAATTTAATTGAATCCTTGGGCAATCTCAGCAGAATAATTGATGCAAATAGCAGGCAGGTCCAGGGAGGGGTCTGGTCTGTCTTGATAGCCACGGAAGAAAAACACGTTGACTGACCCCCCCCCCTTCTCCTACTCCCTCACTAATAACTAACTACCCACCCTCCCACCCTAAGGATCTTTCCTCACTAACCACTCAAGAACTGACTCAATACCTCCTCCTGAACCCTCCTCCTTCGAGGTAAATATCGACACATCCCAAGCGCAAGAATTATCTATATACACCGAGACCCCAGAATACAATTACAATTACAATCGTCAAGTACAGATCAAAATCCGAGACCCTCGCCTAAAGCCTTAGCCCTCGCCCGCATCAAGTTACTAATACTAACTGCTACTCCCCTGATCCTGATCTGTGGGTGTTGGGCCTGGGCTGTGGAATCTCATATACACAGTAGAGAGAGAGAGAGAGAGAAAAAGAGAGTGGTGGAATTTTATATAGATATTAGATATATAATATATGATGTTAATTATACTTACTTACTCTGAAGAAATAAAGTACGGGTTGTTGAGCATCTTTTAGGGCAGGATAAAGATACAGAGAGGGAGAGAGGGGGGGGATTCACCCGCGGGCTACTGAATGGAATCAATCCAATTCAGTGTGCCTTTGCACCACCACCACCACCACCACAAAAAAAATAAATGAAAAGAAAAGGTAAGCTGGGATTCGACCAGCTGACTCTCGTCAATTGGGATTAGAGTATATATATATATATCATTATACAAAAGACTTAAATCAACCGCCTTGACTACTCGGTCGGTCGTCTTACCGTTTGTTGTCATCGGGGTAGATAAGTAATTTTGTTGGACTATATATGGATATCAATCAAATTATCAGATTATAGCAATACAATGTCTAACTTGCCAAGCCTGGGTTACGCCCTCTGGTTGGCTGCAGGTCGGATTCTCGCACGTTTCACGGCTATTCTGTCCCATTGACCACTTGCGCATCCTGTTAAACTTATCTTCTACATTAATTACATTACAAGTTGTTTTGCCAACTGTCATACTCCGTACACTTTCTTCAATAAACAGGGCGCGGAAACGCGCCCCCTCAAGGCCTTGTCTCATCTCACGGCATCGACGAGCATGGTCCGGGTATCATTATTCAGTTTGTGTATACTGCAATTTGATGAAATGGATGATCGTGCTAGCCAGCATGGCGATATCATAGTCTACATAACTTCGTTTGTTCTTGTTTGATCTCGTCTCAGAGGGCACAGTGGCATATTTGTCTCCTCTCCGCACATACACTGGAATCTCACACCGGGCAAATTATTACGATCAAACTACCTATTTCCCCAAACTCTCTCCCAACTCCGCCGCCCGATCGGTCGCCGCCTTAACCGCCTGATCGACCGTATCCGCAAACCCGAGCTTCTCAAACGTCTGCAGCGCCGCAAACGTCGTTCCATTCGGACTGGTGACATTCTTCCGCAACTGCGCTGGCTCATCCTCCGACTCAACCAACATCTTACCCGCCCCGAGACACGTCTGCGCAGCCAACCGTGTAGCCTGCTCCTTGGTCAACCCGAGCGCCGTCGCACTGGCAACAAGATGTTCCACCATGGCGAAGAAGTACGCTGGGCCGGATCCTATCCCCGACCCCTAGTTAGCATCGTCTCTCCCCTCCACAGTCAAGACAGAAATGAGGGGGGGGGGGGGGAAGAGTAACGTACCCGAAACCCCCGTAACCACATCCAACAAATCCTCTTTATCCACCCACTCCGTAACACGACTCACACTACCCAACAACTCCTCCACCAGCGCCCTCTGCGTCTCACTCACCTCTTTGGCCGCAAACGCCCCACTAGCGCCCTCCGTCACCAAGGCCGGGGTATTCGGCATAACGCGCACCACGCCCGGCACCCGGCCTCCATTACCCGCACTCAACCAAGTCTGTAAACTCTGGACGGTGATTCCGGCCGCAATGCTCACCACCACGGGGAGAGTGTCGCGGGAAGACCAGGCGGCGCTGAGTTCCTCGCACACGGCTTTGGCGACTTGGGGCTTGACGGCGATGATGACAATCGAGGCGGCGGAGGCGGCGGTGATGTTGGAGGTGGTGGTTTGGACGCCCAGGGAGGCGATCTTGGTGCGGTTGACGTCCCAGGGTTCCGAGACGTGGATGTTGCTGGCCGGGACGGAGTTGCGCAGGAGACCCGAGATGATGGCGCTGGCCATGTTGCCGCCGCCGAGGAAGGCGAGGGTGCTGGTTTGGAGGGACATTTTGGTTGGTTGGAGGTGGGTGATGGTATGGAGGTGCAATTGGTGATTGAGGGAATGGGAGGGTTAGAATGGGGTGGAGGTGGAAGTGGTGATAGGAACCGATGCCGGAGCGATAATGGAGGGGTAGCTTAGCTTAGCTGTGCTGTGTCGGCCACGTGATTGCCCCGCATGGTGGGGAGATGCGCTGTAGTGGCCATCGGGTAAGGGTTTGACAGGTGGAGGTTCTATACTCTAGGCTCAAGACACTTGAAGGGATAGTATTTTAATTCTTTTTCGGAATGTATTTGAAGAAATCTTATAACAAATACCTGGTTTCTTAGCTAGAGGCATACACGTTAATAATGGTAATATGCAGTAAGGGTATTACTATTAGTTGTTTGTCTACCTAAACAAACTTGAACAGCCCATCGTAAACGTCCAACTTTCCTGACTCGATCACCACCTCCCACTCAGCCTTGTGACCAACACACATTTCCTGATACCCCATATTATTCGTATTGCCAACACCTGCCGTCCTGCTGAAAATGACCGATTCTGTCGCAGGATCAATCTGAATCCCAGCGCTCTTACATTGGGGGTCTCCAATTCTGTAGGGATTCGTGCCACAGGCCCCTGCTTCCATAGCTTGAAGAGACAGATTCCCCTCATCTACGTCTCCCTTGATAAGATCCACGAGTGTGGTGCGAGGATTTGTCCATCGAAGAAGGCGGAACTCCGGCAGGAGTTGAAACATGAAATGCGAGGTCCCGGTCTGTGGGTGATCCTCGCCCTTGCTGTACAGCAGGCCAGGGATAAAGGCTCCTGCCACTGTAGCTGGGGAAACTGACTCGCCATTTTCGGTAACTAGGATAACCTTTGGACGAGGGTTCTGTTGGAGTCCTCTGATGAGAGATGACGCTGTCATGTCAATTGTTTGCTCGGACTGTTGCAGGGCAATACGAGTATCTTGTGATGCGGGGCGGGAGTGAGCAGGCCGCAAAGGGTGAGGAATGAAGAGCGAAATAGCCGACAGGATACGCGGCGGTAGAGTACTACCTGTTGTCTCTTGAATCGCAATGTTCGGTCGTGGCTGGAAAAGCACCTTCCAGAGCTGGTGGAATCGTAGGGGCAGGTTTGGCTGCTCATATTAGACTCGATTCAATACGAGTAGAGGTACTCACCAAGACATCCTGGATTCTGAGAAGATCATCAACTCCCAAATCATCCTCATCTCCAACCACCCCATTGACAAGAACCTCAGCCAACTGCTCATCCTCCGGATAAACCTCCCCGATAGTCCCATAATGGTCCCCATGCCCCCATTTCTCTCCTATCAACCTCATCCTCAACACCAAAAGCAACAAAGCAAACAGATCCCGCCGAGTGACCCGACACCCCATGGGCGTCTTCCCAGAATCAAGCAGCTTCCGCGCAGCAGGACGCAGAGTATCAGGACATGGCATCGACTTCATTGACTGTGGCTGAGTTATAGCCAGAACATCCATCACATCATCCACTACAGCCTCTTCCTGTCCAGTCTCCCCGAGATGACCAATACTCCTCAGCATCCGCGAAAAGCTAGCTTTCCGGAAGAACGTCTCGTCGAAACGCCAGTAATAGTCGCCGTCTTCTTGAGTGCCCAGGAGATCTGTAGCGTCATGGGCCAGGAGTGCCACCGCACGTTGGAACCCATCGACATCAATCTTGCTGTCGTCCGTGATGTAGTGGGGGAATGGGTGGTGGGCGTAAAAGTGGAAGGATCTCCAGAGTAGGTTGATCGCCTCATCGGGGAATGACACATTGAGATGTGCGATTTGGATATGTTTCCTGAGACTATCCTTTGTCCAATCTGGGTCCGTTAGTTGGTTGTGGAATACCCAACGGAGGAGCTCACACTGCTGCCGGTCGGCTTCGTCCTTGACGCAGGACGCTTCAAAGGTGATCTGTGAATCATTGATCCGCCGTATGTTTGGTCCAACGGCAGTTTGGAGGTCCTTGAGAACGGAGTCTGAATTCATTAGTATCTGACTGTGGGGAAAGGACATGGACTGACCCGGGGTGGCATGTCGGAGGTAGTCGGCCACTTTTTGTTCCTGCGGTGCGAGGGCAGCGCGGTTGAGGATGTCGCTGAGTGCGCGAAGCATGGCTTGCTGGCTGTGTTGGCTTGAGCAGATCGATTGCTGGTTTAGAGGGATGTGGAACGAAAGAAAAGACTGGAGGGAGCTGGAGAATAAGCACTAATTATAGTTAGGCGCAGCGGGACTCCGCCACAGCCTCGCCCCAACAACCATCTGCTTGTCTGGCAGGTGTAGAGCCTATAGTATGGTAGAACATATAGGCTTGCTCTGCCATCTGCAGTCATATACGAACACTAAAATTTATCAGAGCTAGCACTGATCCATCATTTTACTTTGACTTGACGGAATTTTACACAGCGCCATAGAACTACTCACAGTTATTATAAACACACTCTATACTATACCCTGCTTCCACTTGTGCAATCTCAATGAGACCTCACCTACCTCTCACCTATATAGCATCCTAACTAGAAGCATTTAAATTATATCCAGGACCAAGTATGTACCCTGCAGGCACTTGTTCAAGTCCGGGTAATCCCCAGTACAACTCACCCCTGTAGCTCAGTGGCAGAGCGCTCCACCTTATTCTTAGGAGTATTCTTATGGAGAGGGCCGCGGTTCGAGTCCGCGCAGGGGCATCCTTTTTCGTTCTCTGAGGGGGGAGGGCTCTACGTAAGAAGGACGAGATGGTGATATCACCCTGCAGGTGGGCCTGAGGCCTGTGTGGGATCGTATGGGGTCGGGTAAGGCTCAGCGACCACGGAGGAATATCATTCATGAGGGCTTGTTGGCTTTGAGATGTTGGAATGTGGGAAATATTCAGGGCTGGCAGACTTCTGATCTGCATCAGGGTCAAGGTCTGTACGAGGCTAGAAAGCCTCTGTGGTCGTGGCTTGAAGCATACTAATGAGTTCTCGTCCAATAAAGGTTGTTGAGACTCGGGTGGAAACCGGTCAAGAGCTATAGAGCCCTAATTAAAGACGCTATGCAGTTATACTATACAAAGAAACTAGTAGAAAGCCGTGTACACCCTCTAGGGGCAATCCAGCCAGACACATCCGTTCACAGCAATCACTTGCACTCAAACGAGCTGGTCTCGTTCCAGTTACCACCAACATACTTGGCCTCCTTGGGGTAGACACAGAGGCGACGCTGAGCCTGCACACCATCGGCAGGAGCATCGTTCACGAATTTCGTGGCAATTAGCTCCTCAGGAGCGATTTCCTGCTCCACCCACGCCATCAGGGCCAGGATCGCATCGTGCTTCCGGTCACGGTATCCAGGCACACCCCAGACATTGGTGCCGGTCAGACCTCCAGGCTGGTTCGCCGCGGCAATGTACCACGGGGCATCGTGGACGGAGTCCTGGCAGTGCTCCATACCAGGGATCAGGAAGAAGCGGTAAAAGTCATCGAGCTTGATACCGAGCGGAGCAAGGGTCTTCAGGACCTGCTTGTAGTAGTAGATGCTGGAGCCGGTGGGAATCTCTCCGTCAGCAAAACCGTGGTAATGCATAAGCTTGCCGCCGGCCTTCTTGAACGGGCGGAGATCAAAGTCGTCGGCGGTGGCGTTGCCGGGGTCGAGACGGTCAGACAGCTGAATGGTGGAATAATCCAGGTTCTGCCAGGGCCAGCCCGCGTCGTTGTAGACAAAGTCGCGGGGGTAGGCAATACCGCTAGGGCTGTCCTGCTCGTCGTCGTCGGTCATGATCATCTGAGCGAACTGGGTTTCGGAACCGTAGGCGAAGCTGGGGAAGACAAGGGTGTCGTTCGTCTCGACCCAAGGGGCGTAGATCTTGTAGACAGTGTTGATCTGGTCGGCGGTGAAGCAGGTAGACGTGTTGGCAGAGGGTCCATCGCAAAGGAGGGTCTCAGGACGGAAATCACAGGCGTATCCGTTCATGATGATGTTATCCTCGACACCATCGACACCGTCGCATTGGCGGAGGACCTCGGCAGCAAGAGCATCCACCTGGGTCTCGGTAATATGGTGGCTGGCATTGTTGGGGAGGTTGAGGGTGGCAACCTTAAGGTCCCAGTTTTGCTGGTGAGTAGTCCACCAAGCACAGGCACCGGCAAGGACACCGTCAAAGTCATCGGGGAACATCTGGACGGACTTGAGACCCTGACGACCGCCGGTCGAGCAGCCAGCGTAGTAAGAGTAGGTAATGTCTTCACTGTAGAAGCCTTCGGTAAGGACCTTGCCGAGAGCAACAGAGCCGTGGAGTGCACGCCATCCCCAGTCCGTACGGGTCTCAGGGTCGTTGAGAGCCCAGGGTGCATCGCCGGCTTGGGTCACGGAGGAGTTGTGTCCAGTGTTGGTGGAAACGGTGGCGAATCCGTAATTAAGACCAGGGGCCATGTCGGCAAAGGCAATCATGCCGGTGAAACCGCCATTGCCGTAAGCCATGTAGCGCTTGTTCCAGGTGTTGATGGGGAGCCAGAGGCCGAACTCATAGGACGAGGTGGCGGACGAGCTCACGTTGACATAGACAGCACAGTATTCGGGAAGGCCAGAGTAGTTGCCCAAGGGGCCAACGAAGGTATCGTTGGGGCCATACGGAACTGCATAGACCAGGGAGGCGTTGGATGAAAGATGAGGAGTGAAAGTTTCGGGTGTGCAGCGCGAGGCCGAGATAGCCTGAGTGGCGACCAGGTTAATGGCGCCCGCCAGGAGAAGAGAGAGACGCATTTTGGTGATGGAATAAATGCTTGTTGCGACAGAGGAAAGTGATCTTCACGCTGTATTTAAGCAGCGGATGGAGCCAGTTCGTTCTCCTGAGCCCGTGCATATCAAGAATAGGCATCCATGATCGAGACTGACGCGTCAGGAGTATATCTGTGGGACAATGCCCGGATGGGGTGGATTGCCTGCTACAGGAGAATACCATCCGATTCCACCGGTTTGCGCGTTCTCGTTCCAACTCTGGTGCGGGTGGAGCAGCCAGGGCCGATTGGTGGTTGGTGACTAGATTCTAGAAGCATACCGTTTGGGTGGAGGATCACCAAGGCCTTAATGTTATATTGATTAGAGTCGCCCCATCTTCCATTGCAGCCAATGAGAAGTCCATGCATACCAGCAGGTTAAGTCCACATTCTGCACGCCCCTGATGATCTTGCCTGGTCTGAGGCACCTAAACGGTGCCCGGGGTTCGCTATGATTATGCACTGCTAGTTGGTGTCACCAGCGGATTACTGCGATAGCCACAGCATTGCTATCTGCTCTTGACAAGAGTCAGCACAATCGGGAACACTTGGAGTGGTACTGTTAAACCCACAGTCCGCATGACGAGAACGATGCTGAAAACATGGCTCGATCAAGGCTTCGTCATCGTACGATGAAAATCTTGCGATGGATGGCTGGATACGGCAAGAGAGGGTGTAGATCTCGGATATAGCAGCCAGCCAGACGCCCTGTCGGATGCAGACCGCAACACCAACCGTTGTGCAGTGTGAAGCGAACTGGGGAACCAGAGATGCAGCTGGAAGTGCCTTGGGACGGATCGAGCATGGACACGGCTATCCCCCAAAGGGTTTAGTCTCCGCAGGGGTTGACGATCAGAAATGGCGCTAGTCCGGAATGGGCATCGTTGTCGAGGCCCTGCCTTTCCTCTTTCGGCTGGCTGGACCCTCGTCCGCAAGTGGCGGTTTCAAGGAGAATACTGGGCTGTCAGTTCACAGTTGGTACCTCATCACTGATACCGCGGTCTATCTCCGAGTCGATACTGCATCTCTATCCTAATCCAGTTCCAGTTTGGATCCCAGGCGATGCTCGGTCACAACACTAGTTTCTAACGATAGATGTATCAGCGGAGGTTGTATCGGGTTCGTGTTGTGGCGTGGAATGAAGGTCTCCCCTTTGTCTCGAATGCTAATTGATTATGGCTCTGGCTATTATTGGCAGGATTGCAGCGTACCGAGTGCTGGCTTGCTCATACTGCTCTCCTAGGGCTATACTCCCTATACGTGGGACACTACATATTCTCAACAGTCGCCAGCTACAATCGACACATGCCATGCAGCAGGTCTGCAAAAACCCCCATAAAGGTTTTGGGACAGGTCTTGCCTTCGGACCCCTTGTCTCAGTACATCATGCTATTGCATGCATTCCGTCCCGTCTCGCGATCCTTTGGGTGGGGATCTAAGACATGACTGACAGCTCTTCGGTCGACAACGTTCATAGAGAGAAGCAATGCGCATAGGAGACGGTGACACTCGTTTGAAGATTCTAGGCAGCACAATTCTACAATGGAGTATCACAGTATGTCAATTTAAGATTGAATAAGCTCGGTATATCACTATGCGTTACCCGCACGATTCAGGAACCAGGATACTAATTTCGGCTTTGGACTATGTGGACCTTGGCTGACTCGGCATTCGGTTTATTCTTCCACTTGCAGGCTAGCACTTCTTGCAGAAGACATCCGAGTTCCTGCACAGATCTAGTTCCGAGCCAAGTCCCAGTCACCGTCTCCATCCAACCTCATCATCCCACCAACTAACCATCACTGAAACCACTTACATGAAACAAACCATCCTACCTCCCCATCCACCCTCCATCCACCATAACCACCGTCCCCGAAACATAGGCACTCGCCCGACTCGCCAAAAACACCGTCACGCCTTTAAAATCCTCCGGGGTGGCCCATCGTCCCGCGGGTATCCGTTCCAGAATACTCCTCGCCCTATCCTCATCATTCAACAACGCCGTATTCATCTCCGTGGCTACATACCCCGGTGCCACCGCATTGACATTTATCCCCTGTGAAGCCCACTCATTCGACAGCGCTTTCGTGAGCTGCGCCACGCCGCCCTTCGCAGCCGCATAGGCAGGCACGGTTATACCCCCCTGGAAGGAGACGAGGGAGGCGACGTTGATGATGGAGCCGCGGTGGCCGTGGGGATCGGGGGTGCGGGTGAGCATATAGGCGCCGATGTCGCGGGCGAGGGTGAAGATGGTGGTTAGGTTTGTTTGGAGGACCTATTTTCTTCCTCATCAGTGGATGGTTTGGGTACGTAGGAGTCGAAGGTAGCAGGGAGTAAGACCTCATCCCAGTCACTGTCCGGAAAGAGATGGCTGGGATGTCGACGTTGGATGCCAGCGCAGTTGACGAGGATGCTGATATCGTGGCCGTCGGCGAGGACGGTGGGTGTGAGTGCCGAGACGGATTCCCGGGAGGAGAGGTCGGCGATGTAGATTGTTGCTTTACGGCCGAGGGATTCGATGCGTTGTTTGGTTTCGAGGTTGGATGTGTCTCTCTGTTTCAGATTCGGTGTTATGGAGGTTGCTGGGTGGTGATGGGTGTGTCGGGACATACCTGGACGAGAATCACATCGCTGCCGGCTTCGGCCAGGGCAATGGCCATTTGTTGACCAATGCCGCGGGTGCCGCCCGTGACGAGGGCGGTTGTGTTTTGTAGAGAGAAGAGATCCATTGTGCGAACTAGATGGGTGTGGTGAAGGTGTAGGTGAATGCCATGGCATACCGGGTATATATACTATGGCGAGACGCAATGCACCCCCACGCCCCCCGCATTTCCAGGTTTCACTTGTAGATCTCCGCATCTCACTTCTTTGATTCTCTCATACATGTTTCTAGTGGACTAGTCTACCATTCGCGAATCCCCCCATCCGGTCCA